CTACATTGCATACTAACATTCCTTACAGAATGATTATTATAACTCTTGTCACGATATAAAACTACCGATACGGTGGATGGCTCCAGAGACTTTAGACTGTCAGGGTGTATGGGTTGTACCTAAGGAATCCTCTATGTCAAAACCTGCTAATGTCTGGTGAGTGTTGGATTCCTACATTTTGTTTAATATGATTTAAATTTGGGATGGTTTTATTTCACCAAATCTTCATCAATATAATAATAATAATAATAATGAAGAGTATTTATATTGCGCTTAACCTACATTAGCTCTAAGCGCATAACAAAAAAAGTAAATTTCAATTCAAATCAAATACCTATTACAAAAAGAGTCATGAGAACTTGAGTGGCGGACATCATATGGTTGATTGTTCCAGGTAGCGGGGTCAATATGAGCAAATGTGCGCTCACCATATGTTTTGGTTGAAACTTTCAGCTATGTGTTGGGTTGGCTGAGAACTCATCTGCAATCAAAATTTAACACAAGACATGGAGTGTTGTCATCTCTCTTTACATCAAGCTTTTTGGATGAGATCCGGTGGAATGTAATGGATTAAATCATAATATACCCTTCAGTTTATGCAAATCATGCCGACATTCCATTCTAATGGCGTCTGCACGTAAGGCGACCAACGCAAACACACCATACTGGCTGCCAAATTTAATGTTAATTTGGATATCAAAACAGAAATACAAAATGTTGAATATGCAATTATGGACAGGTTCAGCAAATACCTTTATAATGACAATCAGAACAATATTGTCAATTCAGATACAGAAAACCATAACAATAATTCACTTATGTGGCTTGAGAAGCTGACAAGATTGTGTCTGTGCTAATCGCTGGTAACACAACACAAATGATCACACAATTTGAATATTACGTAAATCTCCATATACCCCTCAGTTGTAGTTAATAATTGTTCAGTATAACTCAATGTTCATTTCTTAGGTCATTTGGTGTAATATTATGGGAGTTATTAGAATTTGGACGGCAGCCATATGATGCTCTAGATGATAGTGCAGTCCTGAAGAAAGTGATTGTGGAGCAAAATGTTAAATTAAGGCAACCTGTATTGGATGTAGCCTTTGCAGACAGATGGTATGTTAGGAGTGTTTTGTTGCTTCACTGATGCACAATACTTTTATGTGATGGTCACTACTTTTATGTGGTGCACACTACTTTTTTATGATGTAGACAATATAGTGAACTCATGCAACCTACACAAAAAAATACTTTAAATTAGCTTCTTTTGAAAATCTAACCATGCAATTGTTTTGCTGCTTAAATGTCTGACCAATAACAGAATAGTTTGGTAACTTTTTTTTTTTTTATGGCCAATGGTTTCACACTAATTTAGGTACTTTGATGATAACAAACAAAACATTACTCACAAGTTGTCATGTTTTGCACACAAAAATAACTTACTTTTTAGCTCCGCTGTCGACTTTGTCGAGCGGAGCTTATCATATGAGTGATTGTCGTCCGTCGTCGTCGTCCGTCGTCCGTGTCAATGTTTTACTTTTTCGACTTCTTCTTGAAAACTACAAGCCTGAATGCTTTGATACTTGGTGTATATGTACCTTGGGTAGACCTCTCTTAGGTTTGTTCATTTCATGTTGATATCTTCAATTCTCTAATTTTGGTGAATATTTTTGTCATTTTTGGTAAAAAGTGATATTTTCGACTTCTTGTTAAAAACCGCAAGTGCAATTACTTTGATATTACATATATAGGTACTACATGTGGACCTCTCTCAGATTTGTTCATTTTGTAATGATATCTTTAATTCTCTAATTTTGGTGAATATTTTTGTCATTTTTGGTAAAAAGTGATATTTTTGACTTCTTGTTAAAAACCGCAAGTCCAATTGCTTTGATACTACATATATAGGTACTACATGTGGACCTCTCTCAGATTTGTTCATTTCGTGATGATATCTTCAATTCTCTAATTTTGGTAAATATTTTTGTCATTTTTGGTAAAAAGTGATATTTTTGACTTCTTGTTAAAAACCGCAAGTCCGATTGCTTTGATATTACATATATAGGTACTACATGTGG